GGGGGGGGGGCGGGGGGTGCCTGCAGGCCTGCCGTTGGCGGCGTCACTGGGCCGTGGGGAGCGGCATAAGTGATGCCCCGAGCGGCACCGGCAGGAATGGGGTGCTGATGTGGGTTTGCCTTGAGCCCTCCTCTCTGATGTGGGGCGGGGCAGGGGCGTGAATTCCACAGATGCCCTGACCGCAGGCTGCACAGGGTGTGTCTGCCAGGCTCGTGGCTGGCAAAGGGCTGACTGTGGTCCCGCCCCGATCCAGGTGCAGATGTGCTAGGCTTGGTAGTTTCTAAAACACACAGGTGACTTTGAAATAGAGGGGGAGTCTCAGGTTCCGGGAGGGATCTCTGTCTTTAGTGAAAATCTCGGAATTGGCACCTGATTGCCCTGGGCCTCTAGGCCTCTGTGCTTGTGTGGCCCAGGCCGCCTGCCATGGGAGCTGTGACCAGTGCCCTGGGAGGACTGGGGAGCACCCCCTGCCAGCGGGACAAAACCAGGAGGCCTGTCGGATGCCCAGGCCCGGGACTGAGGGGGATCTTTCAGGGGGAAGTGGGCCACCAGGCTGCATCCTGGGTGGGGAGGAGGCAGGTGTGCGGTGAGTTCACATGAGTTGGAGTCAGGACTCAGGAGACTTGTGGGTGTCACTTGGAGTGCTGCAGTGCAGGAGTGCGGCCACCGGCGGACCCCCGCCCCCACCCCCGCAGGAAGGCAGCAGGACGCAGGCTGGTGGGCACAGCAGACAGACTTGTGCAGACGGACATCTGATGAAGCGCACAGTGTTCGCCATGAAGACTTCGGGGGAGAGACTGGAGTGGCACGCTCATGTGCGCGGGGGTCTCCCTGGCCCTCGGCACCTCCTGCAGCTGCCTCGTAGGAGTTCTGCCTCGCTGGTTCAGTAGTTCTGACTTTGGTTTTGTCCAGCCTGCTTCTCACCTCTCCACTGGGCTCTGGAGACACAAAGAGGTACTAGGAACGGAGAGTCTGTGGTGCGGATGAATCAAGCCCGTAGGAGGAGAGAGTCGAGGCTCACTGTGTCTGTAGCAGAACTTAAGAATGGGGTTTTAAAAGCAACACAGGGTGAGATGACCGGAGGCACACTTGTGACCTAACTTGTAAGACCGAGTGATGACGCAGATGGGGCCAGGAGGCTGGAGGGGACTCGAGCACACGGGCGCAGGCCGGGCCCAGGGCACCAGCTCACAGGGAACCTGCCCTCTTAGATGAGAATGGAATAAGGTGTTTACAAGTCCGGGCTTAAGGCCACAGGAGAAACCACGACAGATTTCGTCACAACACGGTAAAACGGGAAATCAGTAACAGAAACGTGCAGTGTCTTTCTCCAGACTGGAAATCTTGAATGTGTGGAAACCAAAGAACTTACTCTAAAACATTTCATGATCTAACTTGGAGTCACAGCGGGATTTCCTAGTGGGGGCTCACCGAGGGCAGGTGTCTTCATCCGTTCAGCTCACTAACACACCCCATTGGTGTCTGGGACAAACTGGTAGGTATTTGTGGGATAAATGAGTGACATACGTGCCTGAATGCATGGGCCGTGGCTCAGATGGCTTAAAGGGAGACTTGTTGCCTCAGCTCCAGTCCTTTGGCCACCTGATGTGAAGAGCTGATTCATTGGAAAAGACCCTGATGCTGGGAAAGATTGAGGGCAGGACGAGAAGAGGACGACAGAGGATGAGGTGGTTGGATGGCATCAGTGACTCGACGGACATGAGTCTGAGTAAACTCTGGGAGTTGATGATGAACAGGGAGGCCTGGCATGCTGCAGTCCATGGGGTTGCCAAGAGTCGGACACAATTGAGCGACTGAACTGTCGCCTCAGTGCATGTCCTGCAGAGCAAGGGGTTTAAAAATCAGTATGCCAGGTTGATCTAGTGCATTTGATAATAATAGAGAAATAAACCCAAAAAAGCTGAGGGAAAGAGAATGAAGAGTAGTAGCCTTCTGTCTCTGCTGGTCAGGAATCATTGAGCGTGGGGAGGAGCCAGGCTGAGCTGCAGGTTCCGCCCTGGGGGCCGTGCCCCCTGGTGTGGGAGGCTGAGCGAGAGCCCGGGGAGCCCCCGGGACTGACGCCCCCAGCACCAGGGGCAGGGCGTGAGAGGAGGGGTCCGGGCCTTCCCTCCCAGTGGGAGTCAGGGCCCAGTGTCGCCAGCCGCACTGCCTGGGGTGCTGTGTCCGGGACACGCCGCCGTCCCTGGGTGCCGGCCTTTCGCCTTTGACGCCGTTGCTCTTTGCTTTACGACTGACGGGTGACTGGGCTGCATGGACATCGGGCTCCTGGTCACGCTTTTAACCCCAGCGCGGTCGTCGGCTGGGAATTCCTGGCGAGCCGGCGTTGCAGTGCCGGGGGCCAGTCTCCTGTGTCGGGAGGGCTTCGTGGATTCTTGCTTCATTCGGCACACTGACCCATTCAGTATACTGTCGCTTTGATTGTCCCAGACTTCTCTGTTTCCCTTTGCCTCAGCTGAGCACGGGGAGCTGGGCAGAGGGGTGCAGGCCGATGCTCTATGGGAACCTGGCGCCTGGCGTGGCCCACAGCCTGTCGGGTTGGGGGGGTGGCCAGCACAGACTGGGGACGCACACCCTGTGAGGGGTGAATGCAGTGGGACCCCACCCCACATGTGCCAGACACCATGCCTTGGACGGAAGACACAAGGGTAGAAAAGCAAAATTGAAAAACTTGGGGAATAAAATAGGAAAATATTGTTATAACATTGGTACTGGGATGGATTATTTAAATTACAGAATATCACAAGTAATAGAGAAGATTCCTACATTTAACTGTGTAAAATTTACTGTGGTGACAGAGGAACATCATAAAACTGAGTGATTAAAATATGTCCACAAAAAAATATTTGAAATAAATATAAATTGACAAGGGGTTGCCACACTGTTGTTTCTTAACCAGCATACACAAAGAATTCTGACAAATCATTAGGATTTGAAGAATCCGAGGGGAAGTAAGAGCAGGCTTTTTGAAGAAGAGGTGGTCCAGGCGAGCACACGGCCCAGTGCAGGGAGGGGCCAGAAGCCTCGGGCAGGCTGGGGTGTGGACAGGCCAGGGCCAGGTGTGAACAGCGTAGCTTGTGACCCCTTCTGGAAGGGTTCCCGATGAAGAAAGCATGCAAGTTTGGTTTTTCATAATAGCAGAAATTGTGGAATCCTAAGTGAATGTGAAGGATGCTCTCTCGTATCCGACTCTTTGCGACCCCATGAACTATACACAGTCTGTGGAATTCTCCAGGCCAGAATACTGGAGTGGGTAGCCTTTCCCTTCTTCAGGGGATCTTCCCAACCCAGGGATCGAACCCAGGTCTCCCGTGTTGCAGGCGGATTCTTTACCAGCTGAGCCACAAGGGAAACCCTGAATCCTCTATAGCCACTGGGAAATTGTGGAAACCTCTTAAAGAGATGGGAATACCATCGTGGGAAAAGACCCTGATAGTAGGAAAGATTGAAGACAAAAGAAGGAGGCGGTGGTAGAGGATGAGATGGTTAGGTAGCATCACCGACTTAATGGACATGAGTTTGCGCAAACTCCAGGAGGTGGTGGAGAATTAGAGGAGCCTGGCAGGCCACAGTCCATGGGGTTGAAAAGAGTTGGACATGACTTAGTGGCTGAACAACAACAAGTACAGCTGTTGAAATGAATGACAAAATCTGCTCACATCCGCATAGAACTTTTGAGACATAATTCTGGGTCTGGGGGAAATAATAGGCTGCCACCTGCTAGGCATGGCTTGTCGTCGTGAGTGCTGTCTGTCTGCATTCAGCCAGGTTGCAGTGCACTGTGTCCATGATTCATCGGGCAGGCCTCACGTGATGCAGACGCTGCATGCGACAGGTCCCAGGGCTTAGAGGGTGCTGCCTTGGGGAAAGGTGGGTCCGCACTGGGTGCTTACTGAGAGAAAATAAGATCTGAATAAGAGAGAGGACAATGTTAACATTTGTTCACTTGGTGGAGGGTAGCTGGGAGTCTGATATTTATATCTGTAATGTTACACAATCTGAGTGTTAGAGTAAACGGAACATTTCTTAGCAATATAATTGTGCACACTACTCAATGAAAGTTTTCTCTTGAGAATTCACAGTGCTAGGGCATTGCCACGTAGGACAGAGTTCGAACATAAATCCCATTTGTGCATGAGACTTTACTACATCTTTGGAAATGACTTCTTAGGAGTAAAGTTACTTTAAACTAAGTTTCTCAATCCTGTCTGTGTATTTGTTCACAGGCAGATTAAAGTTGTCAGTACCGCCACCTCTAGTTGAGCCTTGGGTGGTATCTGGGTGTTCCGGTTGCTCCGGGGGGTGGGCCCACGCCCCTCAGGAGTCTGTTCAGTGGCCCAGCATGGGCGTCCGTGCTGGGATTTTCTGGCTGGTGGTCTGGCGTCCTGCGGAGCAGCATGCAATGGAAGAGTGGTCCTGCTCTGGGTGCAGGCAGCCAGCAGACAGAGACCGTGCTCTGCGGGGCTCCTGACTGCTGTGGTTAGCAGTGTCCCGTACGTTTTCTCAGGACAAGGCTGACGTCTCCCGTTTTATGCTCCCCTCTCCCACCCATGGAGATAGTGTCATTGGAAGGACTTGGGGGAGAAGCTTGGTTAAATATGCACAGGTCTTTATAAACTGAAAGGAGATTGTCACAGTTCATGCTGGAAACCCTGTGTTAAGAGTTCAAGTCATTTCTGTATACTTTTTAGATATTAACAGTTAAAATTCAGGTCCTGGAGATTTTTCCTATCTTTTTCTATGTGTTTTCTTTCTATATTTAGCATTACTGATAACCACTTGTGATGTTTAATAATGCTTTTTATGTTTTTAAATGTCACCTCTATCTTCATTTAAAATTTTTTTCAATTGAAAGTTGTGTCTATATATGCTCACACGGATCTGTGTGCATGCACATCATAAAACAGCATATCTTTATAATAAATTGTAGTTTCCTTTTTATCTGTTAGATATATGCTTGAAGGAGGTGACGTCGATGGCTGACAGTTTGTATAACATTCGGCTTCTGAGAGAATTCTCCAATGAATATCTTAACAAATGCTTTTATCTCACCCTAGAAGATATGCTGTATGCTCCTTTAGTGTTGAAGGTAATACTCAGTTATCAAAAGCACATTTTTAAAACCAGGTGGAAATAAGCTATGTACTGTGTCCTTGATTTCTTTGGTTTTTTCTTGTAGCCAAATGTTATGGTTTTTATTGCCGAGCTCTTCTGGTGGTTTGAGAGCGTCAAGCCAGAGTTTGTGCAGCCCAGGGATGTTCAGGACCTGAAGGATGGTGAGTGGCGAACCTCCGGAAGTGAGTGCTCGGGTGTGCTCTCAGGCTCCCGCCTTTATGCAGCAGTGGGGTGTAACCAGGGCTTTCTCTAGGGAGTGCCAGGGAGCTCAACAGACTGTGCGCAGTCTGCTTCCAAAGTCGAGGTCTGGCCACCAGGACTGTCATTGTTGGACCCGTGTTCTGTGAGCAGGTTCAGGCTGGGCCTGACCTCCACCCTAAGCCCATGGGGGCTTGAAGTGCAGTGGCCACCGGAGGCGCTCGGTCACAGGCTGAGCCCCGCTGACCAGCTGCCTCCTGAGGGTTTGGCCGCAGGGTGTCCTGATTGGCTCTGTCCACGGGCCTAGGGAGGAGGCTGCGTGTTAGGGGTCCGTGCACCCTTCCCACACCAGTGCTTGCTGGCCTAGTCTGGCTTGGGTTTTTTGATTTTAGTACTTATTTGGGTAAAATATTTGTTTTATTCATTACAGAATATGCCTAATGACCTTGAAACCATTTTTTTTTTTTTTTGAGAAGTTTGGTTTCATGTAAGAGTTTTGTTTTTAGTACTTATAAAAATGGATTTTTTTTAAAACAGATTCTTCTTGCTAGTGTTGTAAATAGCGGTAAATAACAAGACTATTCCTATAAAATTGTTTCTGCAGCTAAATCAGTGTCACACCCCAAAAGCAGCCGGCCCCCAGTTCCCATCTCCAACGCCACCAAGCGCAGCTTCCTGGGCGGCCCCGCGGCAGCGAGCCCAGCCGACCCGCAGCCCCCCGCCCCGCCGCACCACCTGCAGCTCGGGGAGCCCGAGGCCCTGTAAGTCCGCCCCCCGCCCACTCCTGCCCATATGCTGTTCCCAGTGGGGTCACCTTTCCTCTGGGCGATGGGAAGCTGCAGGGAGTCAGTAGCGAGGACCTCCTCTGTGGGTGCCGCGCCCTGCCCAGGTGAGCAGGGTAGCCGCAACGCGAACTTGAATTTGCTGTGAAAACTTGAAGCCTCTTGTCTTACAGGCCATGACCAGAAGTCAGTGTGTCTCCGAACTGCAGTCTGGATATTTATCTGAGTTTGAGTTCTTGATGTTCTTGGTACTTTTGGGGTTCATGTTTACAGTGATCAGTTTTCCCAGGGAGTCGGTGAATCTTTTGCAGCTCCGTATGAATTCATGCTAGTCTGTTCTTGAACTTGAAGATCAGCAGCTGGTGATTTTTCTCTCCCATCCCCTCTGTTTAGGGGGAAGGGAGCCTCTGCTTTTAGCCCATCACACCCTTTACTGCCACTGAGACAGAAGCAGCAGAAGACGGTGCAGGGAGAGGACCCCCCAGGTAAGAAACCCCGGCCCCGCCGCCTGCCGCCTGCTGCCCCGCCCCCGCCGCCCGCTGCCCCGCCTCCCTCCGCCTGCCGCCCCCATCCCTCTCCATGGGGGTCATTAAACCATGGTTTCAAAGTAAGCTGATTCAACATGTTGTAGTGCTGTTGGTTAAGACTGGCAGAATGCTGTTTGCTTTTTATTGGTGTACCTTAGAATTTATAGTCTTTACAGTGACCATATTAAACCTAACGAATTACATAAAGCATGGCATCACATCATGTCAGAAACTTACACTTTGACATTCACTGGTTCTTTTAATTGACATTGACATCATTTATTGATAAAGTGAAAGTGAAAATCACTTAGTCCTGTCCAACTCTTTGTGACCCCATGGACTATATATAGTCCATGGAATTCTCCAGGCCAGAATACTGGAGTGGGTAACCGTTCCCTTCTCCAGGGGATCTTCCCAACCCAGGGATGGAACCCAGATCTCCCGCGTTGCAGTCGGATTCTTTACCAGCTGAGCCACCAGGGAAGCCCAAGAATACGGGAGTGGGTAGCCTATCCCTTCTCCAGCAGATCTTCCCAACCCAGGAATTGAACTGGGGTCTCCTGCATTGCAGGCAGATTCTTTCCCAGCTGAGCCACCAGGGAATCCCATTATTTATTGATATTGCCATGTAATTGACATTGTCATGATTTTGTGACCCAGACTGAGTTATACATTACCTATTATCGAAACTGGAAAATTGTATTGGGATTATTTGCTTTCCTAAGCAGTTTTGGTGTGCTGAGTTATAATGCATTTCCTTGAGAAGTGGTTATTATAATGAAGGAATTTCAAGTGATATAAAACTGGTTACCTAAAGCTGAGCTCATCACTGTCTTCTCCAAACCACAGACCAGCGACACCGATCCAGCTCCTTAACCCGAGCCGACAGTCAGCCCCGGGGAGCAGCCATAGCATGGACAGAGAAAAAGAGCAGGTGACCTGTCCATGTTTCAAACAGGTTTCTGCGGGAAATGTTGGTTAGTCTAACAGAGCGGTGCCCCAGGTGTGGTCCAGGGACCTCAGAATATGTCTGTAGCGATGCTGCTGCTTCCCCCATTCAGAGGCCCTGGGCAGTGTGGGGTCACAGCAGCTTGACTCGGTCAGATCCGAGAATCCAGCCGGGGACACAACTGAGGCTGCTCCTTATACTCTGCCCTGGCTTGTTTTAGAAAACATGGCCACAGCTCATGTAATGGATTTCTTACTGGCATTTTTAATCATTTTCAAAACGTCTCAGTGCAGATTCCTGGGGTGATACCTATGGACTCGTATTGACGAATCTGTGAGAGCTTGTTGGGATCCTCAGCGTGGTTATGGGGGGCTGGGCCAGAGTGTCTGAGGGTTGCTGAGCTGAAAGACCCCTGGTTTTCCTTTGCTCAGGAGAGAGTTGTTTCCGCGTCCTGAGTGTAAGAGTAGGATTCTCTCGTGACTCGTGTTCTCGTCACTCATGAGCCTCTCGCGGAGCCATGACATGTCCGATGGCCTCTCTCCCCACGTTGCAGGCCTGCGTCTCAGCCGGCGCCCTTCGCCCTCCACCACACTGCGAGCTGTGAGGACCCCGGCGGTGGTGACAGCGTCAGCCTGGCCCGCTCCATCAGCAAGGACAGCCTGGCCTCCAGCGTCATTCACCTGACACCACAAAACCAGCCCCAGCCCGCAGCCCTCAGGGCCGACGGGAGGAGCCTCCTGAGCAACGTTGACATCGAGGACGAAGACGAGGAGCTCCTGGCCATCGTGAGGACGGACGTGGCTCGCCCGGGCGGTGACCCTGGCCTGACGGCCGGTGCCAGGTCTCCCCAGAGGCTAGCGGACGCCTTTGAAAGTAAGCCCGACAGCTTCTTCCTGGAGCCGTTGATGCCGGCCGTGCTCAGGCCAGCCAAGGAGAAGCAGGTGGTCACCAAGGAGGACGAATGTGGAGAGGGGCGGCCCCGGGCCTTCACGTCCAGGAGGTCTGGCGATGGCCACCAGCCTCTGGGACGAAAGAAGGTGCCCAGTAGTCACGTCGCTCGGGACTTGAACAGGACTTTCACCCCCATCGCCTGTTCAGAGATTTCTGCAGGCTTTGACGCCGTGCCCGCTGAGGTGGGGCCCCAGGTGGCGGGGGACTCGCATGGCGGTCCTCTGGCTGGCAGCGGTTTTGACCCGTCATCTCAGGGACAGTCCGCCGACGGCTTCTTCCTTCACGTAGGCAGAGCCGACAAGGACGCGGAGGGCAGGCTCTACATGAGCTGCGCACGGAGCCCCGGCGCCCTCGGCCCAGACACCTGGGCTGTCTTGCGGCAGGACTCTGACTCGGACGTTGCAGACCTGGACGAGGCCGAGCAGGACTTTGCTGGCGAGGACCACCCTGCAGCGAGGGCCGGGTACGGCGGGGAGGAGGAGTCCGCGAAGCTGCAGGAGGACCTGAAGGTGAAGGAGCACGAGGACAAGGATGACGCCAGTGGCCGCTCCAGCCCATGCCTGAGCACTGTCTCCCAGATCAGCAGCGTGTCCATGGCCAGCGGTAGCGTGAAGATGACCAGCTTTGCCGAGAGGAAGCTCCAGCGGCTCAACAGCTGTGAGACCAAGTCGAGCACGAGCAGCTCCCAGAAGACCACGCCTGACGCCTCGGAGAGCGGCCCGGCCCCGCTGACCACGTGGAAACAAAAGCGGGAGCAGAGCCCGAGCCGGCCAGGCGGGGACCACGCCAGCCTGCTGGCCTCCGAGCTGGTGCAGCTGCACATGCAGCTGGAGGAGAAGCGCAGGGCCATCGAGGCGCAGAAGAAGAAGGTGGAGGCGCTGTCGGCGCGACAGCGGCTGCAGCTGGGCAAGGCGGCGTTCCTGCACGTGGTTAAGAAGGGCCGGGCCGATGCTGCCCCACAGCCACTGAAAGCGGGGCCCCTCGCGGGGGAGCATGCCCAGCACAACGGGGATGACTTCCTCAGCAAGCAGGAAGGCCGGGGAGCACTGTTGGGGTCTCCGGACGTGGACGGCGAGGGCTTGGCCCTCGTCCAGCCACATAAAACCCGGGACCCAACCGGCCTCACCGAGCTGGAGCGTGGCAAAGCGCTGTCAGCGGTGCTCCTGGAGGACGCTGAGGGCGTGGACGTGGGCGAGTGCGACCTGTCCATTGAGAAGCTGAACGAGACCATCAGCACGCTGCAGCAGGCCATCCTCAGGATCTCTCAGCAGCAGGAGCAGCTGCTGCTTAAGTCCCCTACCGTGCCCTCACCTGGGCCCCGCAATGGCTCCCAGGACCCCAAGGCCAAGGCGGCCATCCACTTTGGGGAGCCGCCCTCTCCGACGGCCCTGACCAGTCACCGCAAGCCCCCTCGCCTCGGACAGGGCCGGAACGCCCGGTCGGGGAGACCGGCTGAGCTGAAGGTGCCGAAGGAGCGGCAGCAGGGTTCCTCCCGGAGCAAGACTCCCACCCCTGGCCTCGAGACCGCCCCACACTTGCGGTCGTTCCCTCCCCGGACACCCCCTGAGCCGGGCTGGGACGGGCTTGGTGAGCCCGGGAGCGAGCCTGCGGAGAAGTGTGTCTTCGACAGCTACCGACTGCACGACGAGAGCAACCAGCGGATGCTTGCCCTGTCGTCCTCCCGAGACGCCAGCGTCCTTCCCGAGCAGGGGGGCTTCAGGGAGGGGCTGGAAGGCAGCGCGAAGGAGGCGGCGCTCAGCACGCTGACCGCGCCCGGGAAAGAGAACCTGCCGCTGGATGAGCCCCCGCGCAGCAAGGCCAGCCTCATCGAGGTGGACCTTTCTGACCTGAAGGCCCCCAACGAGGATGGGGAGACGGAAGGCCGGGACTGCTCCGTGGACCTCGGCAGCGAGGGGGACCAGAAGCCGGGGGTCGGCTTCTTCTTCAAGGTAAAGGTTGGCGGCATCCACGCCCCGTGGCGGGCGGGCCGTCACCCACCTGGTCTTGCGGAGCCGCTGCTGCAGAGGCTACGGTTGTGGGGGGGGGGGGCAGCGGAACGCGTGCGGCAGCCTGGCTGCCCAGCGTTCCCAGAGCAGCTGGCCACGCCCCAGCAGAGCTGAAGCAGGAGCTGTGTGTGGTTCTCGTGTGTCTCAGGGTGCTTTTCTCGTGACGGTTTTCGAACCAGGTAAGAAGGAAAGGTGTTCTTAGTTCGAAGGCTCCACAGAGCAGGTGGTATTTGGCCTTCGGGCTGAGGTTGGCTTCTCCCTGCTGCGGTCTGGGCAGGCGGAGAAGCTTCAGGAAACAGTTTGGAGCTTTTTCTTCAGGAGGAGAGGGCAGTGAGCTGTGAGACTTCTCCCTGTCTTGAGAGCATCTCCTTCTGTCCTGGCCCCCGGGGGCAGCTGACACCCATGGAGTGGTGAGGGCCGTCCTGTCAGGAGATGCCGGCCCCTGCTTGGCGTTCATGTGCTTCAGTTGTAAACACACTTTAGCTCCTGTTGTGGAAACGTGTGTGTGGCTTTTCAGGCAAACAGAGTCTGTGTCGGTACACTGAATGCTTTTTGAACGGCACGGCTTGTTTCCCAGTTGTATTTTGGCGTGTCTAAAGGTGTGCTCCTTCTTCAGTTAAAAAGAGTAAGGGAGCGTCTGGACTGTACATTTCCTGTCCTCAGTGCATTAAGCTTGGGGCCAGGGTTGACGGTGCCAGGGGTCCCCTGAGGGTCGGTCCCAGCTGCTCATAGGTGACTGCAGGCGTACCATCTGTAGGTTCAGGGTGGGGCTGGGGCGTGACTGTGCCGGGGGTCCCGCGAGGGTCCGTCCGGCTGCTTATAGGTGACGTCTGTTTTGCAGGACGAGCAGAAGGCGGACGACGAGCTCGCCAAGAAGCGGGCGGCCTTCCTCCTGAAGCAGCAGCGCAAGGCCGAGGAGGCCCGCGTGCGGAGGCAGCAGCTGGAGGCAGAGGTCGAGCTCAAGAGAGACGAGGCGCGGTAGGTGACCAAGGCGCCTGCCCGCTGGGTCTGTCACACCCCCCCCCACCCCCCGATGCTGGGCGCTGGCGTGAGCAGGACGCCCTGGCTGGTCCTTCCCACAGGCGTAAAGCGGAGGAAGACCGAATCCGCAAGGAGGAGGAGAAGGCGCGGCGGGAGCTGATCAAGCAGGAGTACCTGCGGCGGAAGCAGCAGCAGATCCTGGAGGAGCAGGGCCTGGGCAAGCCCAAGGCCAGGCCCAGGAAGCCGCGGCCCAAGTCCGTCCACCGGGAGGAGCCGGGCAGCGACCCAGGTCCTAAGAGCGCCTCCCCCCGTAAGCAGGGCCAGGGGTGGTGTGCAGGCCCTGCCCCCTCCGCTCCCCGCCACCCCTCCGGCTGTCTGCTCTCACTTCTCTTCTCCAAAGTTGGGGCCGAGCGCTGGCGTCCCCAGGTGCTGAGAGATGGCGGGCTGGCCCTTCCCACCCCCGCACAGACGGCTGGTGTGGGGGACGCGTGTCTCACGGAAGCGCGTCTCGTCTTGTCTCCAGCAGCTGATAACCTGAGCCGGGCCCAGTCGGGCTCCAGCCTGTCCTTGGCCTCCGCAGCGACCACAGAGCCTGAGAGTGTGCATTCGGGGGGCACGCCTTCACAGCGGTGAGCAGGCGGGGTGCCACGGGGGGTGCTGTGCAGTGTGGGCGGTGGGCCATCCGGCTGGCCCTGGGGCAGCTCAGAGCTGTGGCAGTGCTGTCACAGGAGCTAATCCCTGTCGCCCAGGCTCACCCACTGCTGAGACGGTCCTGTGTTTGTCTTTCTGTGTTCTCTCAGCCCTGGACAGGTGTTCGTTTCTGACCTTCTAAGAGTGGGTTGACGGTACCCTCTTTATCCTTAAACCCTTGAGAGCGCATGTCCTCTGAGCAGGGGTGTTGCCTCTCACCACCATGGTCATAGACCCGCACTGCCATTGGGTCCGCAGCCCACGCTCACCATGGCCGGTCATCAGTGTCCTTCCGTGAGCCCAGTCCAGTGCGGGACGCGGTCTCGCTGAGCCCATTTGCCCACTCCCCCTGGATGGGCCCTCGCCCTCCTGTGTCTTCCCGGGGCTAGACGCTCTGCCCGGTACGGGCCAGGTGCTTTGCTGCCCGCCCCTCAGCAGGTTTCCCCTGATCCGGCCAGTCAGTGTGTTTTTGGCAGGAGCGCCCCGGAGAGGGGCTTGTGCATTTTTCAGGGCAGCCTGTCGTGTCTGTCACCTTGACATGGGTTAAGGTGCTGTTCCTGCGGGCCTGGTGTTTCCCTTTGTGATTAAGGAGTGAATCAGGAGGAGGTGGTGCTGGGGAGCCTGTCTATGGCTCTGACTACCCACAGGCCTCAGCAGCCCCCGCAGATCTCTGTCCACGCTGCCTCCACACTGGCCTCCTGGCAGGCAGGTCCGCAGCTGTCCTGCCTGGCCACACCTCCGGGGGCGTCTTGACACCTCCCAGGGACCCTGGCCTCCGGTTAGAACTGCTCAGGCGGTCAGTTACCAGGGCTGAATTCAGGTTTTGCCCACACCTGCCTCCTTGCATGAGTGTGTCCTGCTCAGTGGAGGTGGCCTGAGGGCTGCGGCTGAGGCCGCTGGGGAGCCGAGAGGCCTGAGACCCCCTGGGACTTGGACTCTGCCCGCCAGGCCCTTCCTCCCCCAGGTCCATCCCTTGCTGGCAGTGGCACTGATGTCTGGGCCCTGCTCACCGGGCTCTCACAGCAGTGGGGCTGCGTGATGCCCTGCTCCCCGGCGCCGCCTGAGGGTGGCCCTCCCCTGCCCAGGTCCCTCGCTGCCCCGGGGGTGGGTTCGTGTCCTGTTGCCATGTTCTCCTGGGGCAGACTGGCCATGCTCCCCGCTGCTGCCTCCAGCCTCCTGCTGTGGCCGACAGCCCATCCTGTGGTGGTGGTGCAGCCTGGCCCGGTTCGGGCTGGGGTCCCACCAGCCTGTGCCTGTCGCGGGCGAGAGGAGAGGTGGTGTGCCTGCCATCCTCCCCAGCAGAGTCGAGTCCCTGGAAGCCTTGCCCATGCTGAGCCGCAACCCCAGCCGGAGCACCGACAGAGACTGGGAGACAGCGTCGGCCGCGTCCTCACTCGCCTCCGTGGCTGAGTACACAGGTGACAGCCTTGCGTTCTGGGGCACGGCGCCCAGCCGTGTCCTGCGGGGACGGCCTGGTGCGGGAGGGGCGTGCCTTTGCCTTGCACCCGTTCATGGCTCACTGTGTGTCCTGGGCACGTGGGAACCACAGGCTTTTAAAAGAAAGTTAAATTCCAGCCTTTGTGTTTTTTGTGTATCAGAGAAACCGAAATTAGAAAGGGAGTGAGTTATCACTTATTTTTAACTTTTCCTTAGTTTATTCAGAATCTTTAACTTAGAGTTCTCTCATAGATTTGAACTGGCTGTTACGCTTGTGTTTTCAGAAAGTTATGAACACTCCTAATTCAGCCTGCCTGCTGCTTGGTTTAATGAGATTGTTGCTTTTCGCGTGTGCACACGTGTGTGTGTGTGTGTGCGCGCGTGTGTGTGCACACGTGTGTGTACACGCACGTGCCACAAATACTTACTTTGCACATCTTGGCCTGCTTCTCGTAGGTCCCAAGCTGTTTAAGGAGCCCAGCAGCAAATCCAACAAGCCAATCATTCACAACGCTATATCCCATTGCTGTCTAGCAGGAAAAGTGAACGAACCTCACAAAAATTCAATATTGGAGGCGAGTATCAAAGTTTCACACCTAAGTTTTCACGTAGAGGAAGGGTATTTATGAATGAAGGTTTTCCCTAGACGGGAGAATCCTGTGGCTGACAGAAGAGGCCGCTGTCTCACATGCGTGTGGTCAGGTGTGGGGCACACAGTCCTGTCTGCTCACGCCTCCAGGCATGCCCTGGCCCTCACTTTCAGCACGGCTCCACGAAAGAGCAGAACTCAGACCCGCAGGACGGAGGCTGCACTGGGGTCGGGCGGGGGCCTGGGGCAGGTGCCCTGGCAGGGAGCGGGAGGTGGCTGGGGCTTCTTGCAGGGACGCAGCAGACTTGGCATGGCGCTGAGCGGGGGTCTTCGAGCGTCACAGACCGTGTCGGGGTGGACAGGAGGGAGCCCGGCTCTGCACGGGGGCTGCTGGAGGAGCGGCAGTTTGGGGCGAGGCTGGCGTCTGTGTCCTGTTGCTGCTTCCCCGCCAGGGCCGCAGGCCTCGGTCACTCTCCATGGTGTGTGGCGGTGGCCTCAGCAGCTGCTCGGTCTGGACGGAAGGTTCAGCTTAGGACTGGGTGCGTGCCTGCAACCTCACGGAGGCTCTGGCTGGGAGCCCAGTTGGGGCGGGGCTCCTCTCCACCCCGGGTCACCAGCTCCTCAGCCGTCGGCGGGTCCGAGCTGGCCCCGTAGTGGGCACCCACGGGACGTGCTGCCGGCTCGGCTCTGACGTCACAGTGTGCAGACAGCCACAGGCCGGCCGGAGGGCGGCCTGGCCTCTAGAAGTCTGTCCACAAAAGCAGCTGGGCTGATTCTCACTGGGGCTGTAGGTCATACGGTGATGAATGGTCTGGAAAGAGTGGAGGGGACAGCATGGGGCCCAGGGCGGCTCTGGCAGGCTGGTCAGCCAGCAGGGTCTCACTGGATGGGGTCATTGAGCCGAGGCCTGGAGTCGGGAGGGGTGCCATGCAGGTTTGGAGGCTCCCCAGGCTCCAGGTGGGACTGATCCCCCAGTTTGGGCTGGAGCCAGGGAGCTCAGGGTCAGAGGTCATGGCTCGCTACCTCAGAGGTTGTAGGGTCGTAGGGCCTCTGCGGGGAGTGGCCGCATGGGCTGCCAGCCTGGGACAGACCACGTGAGGCTGGGGGCGCAGCAGGAGGACCTGGAGACTGCTCTGCCTCCAGTTCGGCTCGTGTTTAGACACAGCTTTTACATCGTTGAAATCGGTATGAAACTTGCACTTTGGGATTTTGTCTTTTACTGTTAATTTTGTAAATATGTGGACTTATTTAAAATAATAGGAAGCCCGTTAGATACTGAGAAGAATAGTGTCTGTTTGTGAAAAATGTTTTCTAAAAACAAAAATAGAGTGAGGAGGGGCACTGTTTTACATTACATGGATCTTCTTAGCTCCTGGCTTCCCCCGCCTGCACGTGCAGTCTGTCGTGGACCGCGGGTCCTGTGGCCGCTGGACAGCTCCAGTGAACAGGGCAGCTGGGGGCCCAGATAAGGTCTGAGAGGGATGGGGAGGCGTCCTCCCAGTAAGCGGAGACTCTCAGAGGGTGTCGGCACCCGGACCAGGCTCAGAGAGCTGCAGGGTAGGAAGCTGAGCATTCTTGAGTGTGAGGGGCGCCGGGCAGCTTGTTTTTGCAGCAGTGCTGTTCTAAGGCTGAGAGCGCGGTACGGCAGACGCTGTAACAAGGAGCAGTCGTCACCCCTGCTCCAGCACCTTTCTGGGATGGCCTTGGCGAGGGACGCTTCTCCCAGCATGAAGCCCCCATAGCGGCTGTCAGGACTGCCCTCCCAGGGCTGCATTCAGCGCCAGTCCAACACCAGCACCACCCCCCAGAGGGACCCTGGACCGGGGCCGCTCCCCGGCCCCCGGCTCTGTGGTCCCCTCAGCGTTTGCCTCCCCCGGTGGCGTCACATGTAGGGGCTCATCCCAAGGTGGACCTTGGGCGGCGTCTCTCACTGGCAGGATGTCGTCAAGTCCATCCGAGGGGTAGCGACTGTGATGCTTTAGTCCTTTCTACGCCTGAAGAGCGTCCCGTTTCCATGCAGACCGGGGCTTGTCCGTCCATCTGCTGAGGGATGTCTGGGCGGTTTTAGCCTTTGATTATTGTGAATAATGCTGCTGGAAACGTCTGTGCACAAGCTTTACCTGGATGCGTGTTTTAATTTCTATGGATCACATCCCTGAGAAAAGAGCTGCTGAGTCACGTGGTAACTCGGTGTTCCAGCTTCTGAACAGCTGCCAACTCGTTTGCATGGCTGCCCTCCCCTCTGGCAGTGGGGAACAGGGCCCGTTCCCTCACACCCACTCCAGCACGTCTAGCCTGGCGGGTGTGCGGTGCTGCCCCGCCGTGGTTTCCGTCTGCCTTTCCCCGGGGGCTCGTGGTATGGAGCATCTTGCCATGGGATGTTTTCCCTGGAGACTTAGACTCCATAAGACCTGGGCAGGCAGTGGTGGACGACACCCCACCGAACAGATCCTCCCACCCCCGTGTCGTCGTGTTTCCTGGAGAGCTTGCCCCTGGAGAGCTTGCCCCCGGGGTGGCGGGTTAGTGGGCAGTGGGCGCGTGGTCCGACTGTGGGGGGCTCATGCTCCGTGTCTGCCCCGCCCGCAGGAGCTGGAGAAGTGTGATGCCAACCACTACATCATTCTGTTCCGGGATGCCGGCTGCCAGTTCCGGGCTCTCTACTGCTACTACCCCGACACCGAGGAGATCTGCAAACTGACGGGCACCGGCCCCAAGAGCATCGCCAAGAAGATGGTTGACAAGCTGTACAAGTACAGCTCGGACCGGAAGCAGTTCAGCCTCATCCCGGCCAAGACCATGTCGGTCAGCGTGGACGCGCTCACCATCCACAACCACCTGTGGCAGCCCAAGCGGCCCTCGGCGCCAAAGAAGACACAGACTCGCAAATGACCCCGGCACGGCGGAGTCTGCGGACGTGCCGGCTGGGTCGATATTTATTACTTTTTTCCTTTTGGGTACGAACTGTGCAGAATCACAGACCTTTTTCAAAGAGGCTTCTAGACGACAAGAGAAAACCCCTTCCTGAGCTCCTGGCACCGGGACGGCGGGTAGAGCCCGGGGCAGACCGGCCCTATCAGTCCCAGCGGTCGCCCTGGTCCCCGCTGCACGGAGGCTTCCGGCCAGGGCGTGTCCCAGAGCTGCCGGCAGCGGGGTCCTTTTACTTGAAGTTCTTCTTCAGTGTAAATTAAAGTGATCTTTGCTTCCTCGCCTCCCACCTCACCCCTTTTTGCACATGACCTGACCCCCCACTCTTGCTGGCTGGCTGTGATCTCACGGGATTACAGGACTGAGACTTGGTCTCGGGTCAGGGTGTTTGAATGTCTGTAGGAAAGGAGTTCATGGTGGGGAGTTGTTTTCATTGAGAAATTGTATAATATTTATTGATTGTGTCTACTGCCAACGTTTATATCCAATTCTAAGATTTCTGAAAGAAAAAAAGAAATTCTTGTTTCTTGCTGCTCAGAAAAAGTTTACTGAAAATAGCAGTTCACTAAAAGCACTGAAATCTGCAGTCTGTCTTCTGCTAGAATAACGTTTACAAGTGCGGAGGGTTCTCCCGCCACGCAGTCACGAGGGACGCACACGGTACTCTGTTGGCGTCTGCCGGCTGGAGGCAGGTGAGCCGAGCCAACAGCTCTCGCCCGGTACGTTGGGGGTAGCGTGCTCATGATTGTTCACTTTAATAAAGACAGATTTTTTGCTAAAGTAGAATATTTTTTACTCTGAGCATGTTTCTCTTAAAAAGGTGATGATGCACTTAAGCTGACAGTTCTTTCTAGTGTTTTTATCACGTCCTCACTCGTCCCGTCCCGATCCTGGCTTCTGGGCCCTCCGGAGAGCTTGCGGTTCTCCATGTAGACGGAGCGTTTGGTCACGTCGCCCACTCAAACACAAAGTGGTCATTGGCAGCTGTCCGGGAACCACAAGTCTGCGGGACGCTCCAGTCTTCCCCCCGCCCCACCCCGGCGGTGGGCCTGGGGGTCCTGCCAGCCCCCGGTGCTTCTCGGGACCAGACCTTCCAGCCTGGCCTGCACACGCGCCGCCTGTGCGACTGACCCGCTGACCTGACCGCCGGGACATTCTGGAGTCACTTACTTAGTTTTGCACATATTTTTTTTTTCTTGGGAGTGTTACTTGAATCTATCTCAAAACTGCAGAAAGGAAAAAAAAACACTAAAGCTCGACAGAGAGAAAAAGTTAAGACACGTAAACTGGTAATTTCCGATAAAGAGGGGAGTGACCGCGTCCACGAGGACGGAGGGGACGCGCGGCCTCGGCCTGCCCGGCTGGGTCGTCTGTAAATAGGTAGGCCTGTGCGGCTTCTCCAGTGCTGAGTGAACTTCCTGTTACATGCTGTTCACACGTGTGCTTTATTTCTCACTGTATGTTTGATAATTATATTATTATATTTATTTTAAGAAAGCACTAAAATGTAATAAAGTAATTAACTAATTTGCTTTTTATGACCACGTTTGTGTGAGGTTGTCGTGGCTGGTTATGTGGGTCAGTGTCCCCACTCCGCACTGTGGAGACGTTGCCAGTGGTTTCTGGCTAACTCCCCTCCTTCTATCAAGAGAAGACGCCCTTCCAGTCTCTTCCTTGATGAGGCCAGAACCCCCTGATGTTCTGAGCACCTTCACAGAGGTCCTGCTGGAGTCAGAGGAGGTGGAAGATTTTCAGGGAAGACCGAGAGGTGCTTCCAGCCCCCTGGCTGGATGTCGCACGCCTGCCAAACCTCTGGGCAAACCGTCTCCTGACACGGTCAGTTGGCTGCAGGGTGTCGTGGGGGTTGTTCCCATGCTGGGTGCCCTCCGCTGAGCTCAGCGAGGACCCGCGGCACCACGGCCCCTGGGTGCTCAGCCTGGCCGGCGCTCGGGACGTGGGGCCGGGCGTGCCCCTCAGGCCCTCTGCACGTCGCAGCAAGGGTCAGACGTGTTCCCACGGCCAGGATTTTGGTCTCTCTTGGCTGTGGTGGTGAAGTCGTCACTTCTGCCCCTAGAACTGGGCTGCACTCGCCCTGTAGATGTTCCGCCCTCCGGGGCAGCTGCACATTCGTCTTGTTCTTACCGTGGAGGACCGGGCATCCCTTCCTTGCCCTGCAGAGTTCTGACCCGCCACCCAGGTGAGGAGGTTTGCGTGTGAGTCCTTGGCTGTGACCTGGGATCCCTGCAGCTCAGGTGAAACGGGTGAGTGAGCCGCTTATTTTACAAATAACGTGCAGAGGCATTAATTTATCTGTACACACGCACACGCCAGACGAAGGCTGTCTTCCCGTGTGACCCTTGACCTTGCGTGTCACTGCAGATCCATGTCTTATTGGGCTGTTTGGGTCCAAACTACATTCTCTGCTCTGGCACATGGAAAAGCAGCATAATTCCAAATTTACATCTGGGTTGCACATTTTCTTTTTTTGGTGTTGTCTTTTGTTATTTTTGGCTGCACAGCTTGAGGGATCCTAGTTCTCCGACCGGCGGTTGAATTCACACCCCCTGCAGTGGAAGCACAGTTCCAACCCCTGGCCCGCCAGGGAAGTCCCTAGGTTGTATGTCTGTTCCTTAAAACTGGAGGTGTTACTTGGCGGGGAAAAAGTTACCTGAAATAAAATCTGCTCAAATGAACTCGGATAACCTTTGGTAATTGATGCCGACCTACTTGTGAAAGGCAGGTTGGCGTCTGAGAAGCGGGTGTGGGCGGCCTCGAAGCAGCTCCTCTCCCAGTTCGTGGCCTTAGTTTCCGGCAGAGGGGCAGATGGGCTGTGCTCTGCGTCAGGGTCACGGCCACGTCCATCAGTGCGGGTGGGGGGCCGGGCACCTCACGGTGGCATCCCGCCGGGCCGGGCCTCAGGTTGGGACTGTCCGAGGCTGCGCCCCACGGGCCTGGCCATGCCAGCAGAGTCATGTGGCACGCTCTCTCTTTCGCAGTCTCCGTGCCAAGGCCCGAGCTGCGGATCCCATTGAGATCGTGGGCTGGGAGGTCTCGGCCAGAACTTGCCCCGGGAAGAAGCTTGGCTCCTGGCTCCCTACCCCATCCTGTGCTCAGCCAGCAGACAAGTCTGTGTGGTGTTCTCTCTTCTTTAGAAAGAGCAAGTTACTGTTTTCCAAGGTACTTCCTAAATACCCAGGAAATGCCATTCCAGCAGAAATGAATGATAAAGTGTAGTAAGCCGTACAGTCTGATCTCCACGTCCTCACACCAAGATGTAACTTGTGAGAGGTGGTTTCAGGGGAGCCCTTCTTGGCCATGAGAGTTTGGGGTTGCTCCTGATAGCGAGAAATAGCAACACCATAAAACCCAACTTTCCCATGAAAGTGAAGCCTAGACTGGTGGTTACAAAGGTCGGAAGCTAACACACTTGGAAGCTTGTGTCTGGGCCTGTGTTTTCTTCTGGTGAGCGGGAACTCCAAGTACCTTCACCGCGGGTCTTGGCTGCACTCGGCCAGGCTGCGTGGGAACAGGTTTCAGCCCGAGCATCCTGCCTGGGGTTGGGGTGCTGAGACGTACTGTTGGGCATCTATCTGTACACACGTTCCACGCTTACAGCTTGAAATGTTCTGTAATGTGACTGGTTAAATTGACAAGCATGCCACTCCAGGGACCAAGCTTTGAGATGAGGACTCGCATGCCCCAGATGATGCCTGTTCTTTGCTCATCCTGGTTGGGGGCCCATTGTGGAAGCTTGTGAGCATCCGGGAGGTGTCAGCAGCAGTGCCAGGCAGGCTGAAGCATTGGGGCTTTGATTGGTTTTTCCCCCTAATTCTCAACTTTTTTTCTTCTTTGTGCATTTTTTCTTTCAGCTGACAATTCATTTCTTTAGTTTTTAATTTTTATTTTTAATTACAGGATAATTTCCTTTACAATCTTGATTCCAGTTTGTGCTTCCTCCCAGCATTTTTCATGATGTACTCTGCATATAAGTTAAATAAGCAGGGTGACAATATACAGCCTTGATGTACTCCTTTTCCTATTTGGAACCAGTCTGTTGTTCCATGTCCAGTTCTAACTGTTGCTTCCTGACCTGCATACAGGTTTCTCAAGAGGCAGGTCAGGTGGTCTGGTATTCCCATCTCTTTCAGAATTTTCCACAGTTTATTGTGATCCACACAGTCAAAGGCTTTGGCATAGTCAATAAAGCAGAAATAGATGTTTTTCTGGAACTCTCTTGCTTTTTCGATGATCCAGCGGATGTTGGCAATTTGATCTCTGGTTCCTCTGCCTTTTCTAAAACCAGCTTGAACATCTGGAAGTTCATGGTTCACCTATTGCTGAAGCCTGGCTTGGAGAATCTTAAGCATTACTTTACTAGCGTGTGGGATGAGTGCAATTGTGTGGTAGTTTGAGCATTCTTTGGCATTGCCTTTTCTTTGGGATTGGAATGAAAACTGACCTTTTCCAGCCCTGTGGCCACTGCTGAGTTTTCCAAATTTGCTGGCATATTGAGTGCAGCACTTTCACAGCGTCATCTTTCAGGATTTGAAATAGCTCAACTGCAATTCCATCACCTCCACTAGCTTTGTTTGTAGTGATTCTTCCTAAGGCCCTCTTGACTTCACATTCTAGGATGTCTGGCTCTAGGTGAGTGATCACACCATCGTGATTATCTGGGTCGTGAAAATCTTTTTTGTACAGTTCTGTGTATTCTTGCCACCTCTTAATATCTTCTGCTTCTGTTAGGTCCCTACCATTTCTGTCCTTTATTGAGCCCATCTTTGCATGAAATTTTCCCTTGGTATCTCTAATTTTCTTGAAGCAATCTCTAGTCTTTCCCATTCTATTGTTTTACTCTATTTCTTTGCATTGATCTTGGTTCAAAAATCTTGACTGTTGGCTTAAAGCTCAAGAATCAGAAAACTAAGATCATGGCATCCGGTCCCATCACTTCATGGCAAATAGATGGGGAAACAGTGGAAACAGTGGCTGACTTTATTTTTCTGGGCTCCAAAATCACTGCAGATGGTGATTGCAGCCATGAAATTAAAAGACACTTGCTCCTTGGAAGGAAAGTTATGACCAACCTAGGCAGCATATTAAAAAGTAGAGACGTTACTTTGTCAACAAAGGTCTGTCTAGTCAAGGCTATGGTTTTTCCAGTAGTCATGTATGGATGTGAGAGTTGGACTGTGAAGAGAGCTGAGCGCCAAAGAATCGCTGCTTTTGAACTGTGGTGTTGGAGGAGACTCTTGAGAGTCCCTTGGACTGCAAGGAGATCCAGCCAGTCCATCCTAAAGGAGATCAGTCCTGGGTGTTCATTGGAAAGACAGGTTGAAGCTGAAACTCCAATACTTTGGCCACCTGATGCAAAGAGCTGACTCATTTGAAAAGACCCTGAATCTTCAAAGAAAGACTGAAGGTTGGAGGAGAAGAGGATGACAGAGAATGAGATGGTTGGATGACATCACCGACTCGATGGACATGGGTTTGGGTGGACTCTGGGAGTTGGTGATGGACAGGGTGGCCTGGCATGCTGCGGTTCATGGGGTCGCAAAGAGTCAGACACGACTGAGCTACTGAACTGAACTGATGATTTCTGCCAGACATCAGCATGAACCAGCCATACCTTCCTTTTTTGTTTTTGCATACATTCCTTTTTAAAATTCATTTATTTTGTTTCACTTTGGCTGTGTGGTATGTGGGATCCCAGTTTTCCGACCAGGAATCAAACTCCCCTGCAGGGGAAGTGTGGAGTCCTAACCACTGGACCGCCAGGGAGGTCCCAGGACTTGAATTTAAAGTGTTTTTTTTTCAACCGTTTGTCTCCGATTGAACTGATAAATCTCTCGAGTCTCTTATTTTGTAAGAAATGATTTTTCATTTGCCTTTTTTTATTCCAGGTGTTAAATTTTCATTGTGTACAGTACTATTCTGGTACTTTTTTTAAAAATTGAAGTAGAACATACCTACAGAAAAGTAACGAATCGCATGCAAAGAACTTTGACAAAGTTTGACTGTTTATTCTCATTTTAAAATGAGTGGTTCTCAGCACTTGCCACCAAAGTCATCCCTAGAGGTTTAGCTTCTACATTGCATTGGTATTTGTTACTGGTATTTGGTCCAGTTTTATTAGTAGGAGTTGGTCGGCTGAAGCATGAGATGATGGAAGGGCAAAGCGGATGTTTGCTGGGTGGAAAGTACATCTTTATTTTCGTGTCTTTCTTCACAGCGGCCTGCGGTTCAGCTTGTGGGTGCTGAGATGCCTCATCCGGGGGGTGGTCGGTGTGCTGGCGGGGCAGTCCCCCCGGGGCGGGTTCCCCAAGTTTCCAGAGACAGGCGTCACTGGCCTCGGAGCTTAGGGCAACTCAGCTGCTGCAGGAGAGTGTGTGCTGGGCGTCCCCTGAGCGCCCTGTCCTGGAGCCTCTAGACCAGTGACTAGAACGACCCATGCTCGCTGGTCTCAGGCGTCCTGAAGTTTAAGACACACCGCTGTTTTGTGCCGCCAAGAGAAGCCCTGATGTGTAGACTGTCATGTCATTGT